CAGCCCGGTACCATGACAACAACCGGTCCGGGGGTTGGGGACCGCTGTCCTGGAGGATTCTTCCTGTTAAAAGGTAGTTTTTCCTTCCCACAGTTGCCAAGTCTTTGATCATACGGGGTCATGTGATTGTTGTGGTTTATAATTTGCTTATCTACTATTGTGGGGTCTTTAACTTACAACAGAAAGCACTTTGATGTGTTTGTTGATACGAAATGGTGCTATATAAATCAAATTGATTTGAATTATCAGTGTAAAAAAAAATAAATTAAAAAGGAAAGTAAGTAAAAATCTAAGTAATAGAACATAAATAATGTGATGTGAACTTGAGTGACAGTGACAGCTAAACCCAGAAACGTATCTCTAGAGACTTGAAGAAGTAAAAAAAGTGAGATTTCTTGGCACCAAAGGGGGGGAACGAAATATTTTGCAGATGGCAGCACTAGTGCAACAGTTGAAATGGTCTGGTTAATGTCAAACAGGGGTAACACCCAAACTCCTCAAACTTTGTAAGTCTTTAACCTCTGTAGCACAAAATTGTAATTTCTTGCATGCGATGGGACAAGACTGATAGAAAGGCATTGAAATGTCCTTGAATATTATGTCTGAACAAGTGTGGGAAACCTGATAACATTCCTCAGAGGGTCAAAGCTGGCTGAGCCGGCCATGCTGGCACTGACATTGCAACTGGCTCTGCGATTAAGCCACGGGAGCCATTTTAGGGCTGATTATTCATGGTGCTACTGTACTGATGTTCCACTACACTGAATTCTCTCATTAGGTCATCCGGCTCTAAAGGCCATTAAATTTTCAGTCAGCATGAATAAGTCAGAGAGTTCTGCCTCTGATCATGCAGTGCGAAGAGTCCCCAAACTCATCATAGGTGCTCTGCAAGAAAAGGGGAAAAAAAACCCTACTTCAGTGCAGGGGTAACATTTGCTCAATTAAATATGTGAGAAGGGCAGGGGTTGGCAGCAGGGTAGTTTTTTAGATTTAAAACCTACCATGTGGTGCCAGACAGCATTTCCAGAAGTATCGATTAGAATTTCGCTGTGGGTAAATGACTCCCAATGGGATCTCCTTGGCAACTGGAGCCGCGCCAAGCCACTGAATGTCTAACCGACTTAATGCAGATATAAATCGCCATTCCAATCAAGGCCGTTTTATTTGCGGCCTTAAGTGAAGCAATACGTCACCTGCAATGCTGCACATTTTCGTCAATAAAATCCTGTCAAATCCGTTAAATGCATGCTGCATTGATGACATATGATTTATGCTGCTTCGTTCCAGGGAAGGATATGTCATGCATAGTTGGAGTAAGCAGGTAGTTAAGAACGGTTGGCATTTGGGTCCCTAGTGCACTACAATTAATCATAATTGCTTTGTATTGCCTATGAACCTTTATTGTGCTTTAGATCTGCACTCCCATAGCATGAAAAGCATGAGCAATTAGCTTTAATTAAAACTAATTCCTACCCGTAATATCTTGAATGGCTTGCCTTCTGCGGCTTTTTGTCCGATTGATTCGACTTGTGTGACAACAGCTCATTTACAAAGTGAACATGAAAATGAAGCATTATGGCGAAACATGCACTGAAATAAACTACTAGATTTTTTCTTTTTCTTTTTCCGAAGCTTCAGCGCTATAGAAAATATTTTCATTGGTGTTTTAATGTGGCCAGAAAATAACTGGAGAAAAAAAATAGAAATTGAACCATTGACTTCAAATACGACCCCTTGAAAGCACAGCCAGAGCCCTATCCACTGCCATCTATTATATTCATGAGTGTGACCTGTCGGGGGTGAGAGGAGGCTGCAGGGGGAGGTGATGGGCGCCCACCTGCTCAGTTTCTAAGACAACTGCCTGCCAGGAGATCAAACAGGCCTCCTCGCTCCCCTCTGTTCTCCTCCTCCTCTCCCTTGCAAGTCCCATATACGAGGCGACTGACCCACTTTTCCTGCCTCCCTGAGCCATTACCTGGAGAAAATGTAGTGATGTGGTGTGCGAGCATGTTGGGTTGGTGGGTGGGTTTGCAGCACTGAACAAAAGCTTCTCATCTTCTCCTACTGTACAGAAATGAAGGTGTAACAAGGACTCCAAAGAAAGCATGTCATTTCTTATCAGATGCTATTGCATGTGAGATTGCTTCTCTAATGGCGTGTCTTGGCCTAGTATGTGTTTTGCTTCTGTGCTGCCACACATGTTAACTGAGCTCACTCAGCTAGGCAAATTTGCCAGACAAATGGATAATTTGCCAAACACTGCGGGACCAAATGAAAGTAGTGATACTGCATAAATTCCATTGCGCTGGTGTAAATTGTTTACAATCCTAAGGGCTTTATGGAAGGTAGAGCCATCACTCATTGTTTTCACGGCATTAGATTGATATTGATTGACTCTGACAGCTAGCATCATGATACTTAGGCCCAGTGACCATTTTATCTCTTTCCCCCTCTTGGCTCATTTTTGTCAGTCCTCTTGCCACCTTCCTTTGTGCTTGCCTTTATTACCCTTATGCTACTTTTTTTTTAATGTTCTTTTCACTCTGGTGCTCTCTTTCCTTACAGGCCTCACATGGTGACAGAATACATGGGCATCAGGAATGAGAGTTTTATGAAGATTGCTGCTGTGGGGACATGGATGGGAGATTTTGTCACTGCCTGGATGGTGAGATTTGAACTCATCCGTGTCCACATTAAATAAGTCAGCTTTTATGAAAAGAAAGACAGACCTTCAAATTTTAACCCTGCATTATGAAAAGCACAATGACTGAAATGATTGAAAATAAACCTCTTATTCATGCTAACACCATGATTTGTTAAATGAAATTGTGTTAAGCTTTATTTTTTTCAACGCATAGTAGATCACAGTTTAATAAAGAATAGCAGCTTTATTTAAGAAAATGTTCAAATATAATTGGAAATGCTGAATAACTAAAATACTAATACTTTTTGATAATTTTATGACTCTTTTTTCATACCTGATACAAAAAAGATCTAATCAAGAGAAAACCAGTTAGTTCAGCCTGCTTCATTAAAGTGCAATATAGCAAAATAATAGTAAAAATCTAATAGACGAACGCATAAGCAAGTCAGTATTAAAAAAAGTGAAATAAAAACTCTGTCTTGCTAAACTTGGGATTCTTGTGAAAACATCTGCATTATATTGTGAAATGTTTTCCTGGTAACATTTTAGAACTTTTTCATTAGAGTAGCTGCTCTTTATAGCTAGCTTGCTAACTAGCTTGCACTTAATTTCACATTAGCATGTACTTAAGCTAATGACCCTTAGCCTGTATCGTGGGCGTCATAAACTGCAGAAATAATAATTGTTTGGGTTTTGTTTTGTTTTTTTATTTGTTTTTTTTATTTTATCCACTCCACACAGTGTATCTGAGACAACTGCCTGATGGTACAGAGCTAAGAATAAAAAGAGCCCTAACTTCATAAATTAGCTGAGCAGCAACAATGAGCATCAAGTATTTAATATAATATAGACTGTCATGCACTGCTCAAATACACTATGCTGAATTACTAACCCACTAAGTATGCTTATAGGTTTTGATAATTTTATAAAAGTGAAATGTTTTTCTCTCATATCTGATATGAAACATTTAATCATTTTCATATCCTAGAAGAAGGCAAACAAAATTCTAGTAACATATATCTGATAGACCTTCCCAGACTATAAGTTTGGTCAATATAACAAAAAAATTGTGAGCCTAAATACTCAGCCTTCCTAAAACTTTGTACAAATCTGTGACAAATGACGGACGGTGCAGAGCTAAGAATAAAAGGTTAACAGCAGCAACCTCTAAGCAGCAATGATGACCAAGTATTTGACCCAATGAGTGTTTAAAAAAAAAAAATTAAATCTGATAAGCCTTGCATGGCTGCAAGCATGGTTACTTTTAGCTGTGTTCATATCATAATAATTTAATAAATCATGTTTACAACCAGGTCAAGATACAAATGAAGCCATTCTTCACGTACCAAAATCTAATTTCTAGGTCAGGTGTATCCTCTCAGCCATATCAAGGCACACACTTACAATGCAGCTTTCCACACTAATCTAGTTCAGTCTGCTATCAAACCCTCAGAGGAACATGCGACTGATGTAAGGAGGGTCAGAGGAAACAATAGGTGCACAGGGAGGGACAGAGTGTGTTGTAGAAGAAACCTACCTCTGTTCATTTATCAAAATAAAAAGAGGAGGAGAGCTCCAGCGGGACAGGACTACCTGTGGTGGGAGGAGTGCGGGCTTTGACACCAGCATCCACACAGCTGAGACAACTTGACAAGCTCTCTCACCGGTCACATTAGTATTCTACAGTACATACTGCAGAGAAAGAGAGCGGGTGGAAGGAGAGACAGAAAAGGAGGCAAAGGAGGAGGGAGGTAGTCGGTAAGAAACAGAGGTGAAGGGGAAAGGGAAATGTAAAAGTGTGGTCAGAAGGGAGCCAGGGGAGGAAGCGAGTGAGAAGGTGAATCAGGGAGGCAGAGGTAGGCCAAGACAAAGTGCTGATTCCAAAATCCCTCCAAGTTTTTCTTTTTTTTTTCTTTTTTACATTTGATTAATTCAATGAGGCACTTTGAAGATGACCTCTGTGTCTCCTCTGCATAGCAGATTTACAGTATAGCTTTACTGGTTGAGTGAACAGGAAGTGTCTGTTTTTGAAATGGTGCAAAGCCAGAAACATCTCATCGATTCCCTGATACAGATTCTTTCTCCAACACACTATCTGCAGTGAGGTGCTTTATTGACGAATTGACCTTGCCTCTGCAGCAGCTCCACATAAAGAATATAGAGGAATTTCTTTAGACACTATGCTTTCTGACACAACTCTGCAGCCGTGCAAAGAAGATCTCCCGTAATTGACTTTTAATGACATTAAGGATGACAGCGTAAAAACAATTTCCCTAGCTGTTGGAAGCACAACATTAATACTGAAAGAAGCGAGTATGTTTCAAGGTAATCACATAGTCATTAGTGGTAAATCAACAATGGAATGCTATTCAGTATGAATCATTCAGTATTCACAACTTTATATCTGTTCAGTATTCAAAACTGTATACCTGTAGAGTAACATGTCATACAGTTTAGGGAAATAAGCATTTAATCAGCTGCCAAATTTGTAAGTTTGCACAGTTATTATTTCTTTTTAATTTTTATGGTGCTTTCATTTTAATTAAGAGAGAATATTAACCAAAAATCTAGGAAAAAAATCCATTACAGAAAAGTTATACACTGATTTGCTCGTCACTGAGTGAAATAAGTGTTTGATTCCTTCCATGACTTAGTACTTAGTTGAGAAACCATTTTTGGTAGCAGAGGAGTAAGATACTTTCTGTAGTTGGTCACAAGGTTGACGCTCATCTTAGGAGGAATTTAGACTCACTCCTCTTTGCAGAAACTCTCTAAATCCTTTCGGTTTCTTGGCTGCTGCTTGGCAACCCAAATCTCCCTCCATAGATTTTCTATTGAGGAGTGGAGAATGGTTAGGCCACTCAATGACTTTAATGTGGTTCTTCTTTAGTCTCATTTGTTGCCCGGGTGGTATGTTTTAGGTCATTGTCATGCTGGAAGACACATTGACATCCTCAGTGTTCTGGCTGAGGGAAGGAGGTTCTTGTCAAAGTTTTTATGGTACATGACATGAAGTCAGCCCAAAGCATAATGGTCCTCCCCTGTGTTTGATGGTGGGGATGGTAATCTTTGGGTCATACTTGGCATTTCTCTTTCTCCAAATACAGCAGGTCAAGTTGATAGAGCAAATTAGGTTTCATCTGACCATAGGACTTTCTCCCAAACCTTCTCTGCATTGTTTGAATGTTCTGCAAACTTAAGACAGGCCTGCACATGTGCCTTCTTGAACAGGGGGACCTTTCAGGCACTGCGAGATGTCAATCCATCACAGTGTTGTGTTAGCAACAGTCTTCTTGGTGACTGTGTAACCGCTAACTGCCTTCAGATTATTAACAAGCTCCTCCTGTGTGGTTTTGAGATGATCCACCACCTTTTTAAGGATCATTCTCACCCCATAATGCAAGATCTTGCATGGAACTCCAGACTGAGGGCGATTGATGGTGTTCCATCAATCACTATCTTTCATTTCTAAATAATCAAACCAACCGTTGTCACCTTCTCACAAAACCTCTTGCCGATGGTCTTGTAGCTCATTCCAGCCTCGTGCAGGTCTACAGTCTTGTCCCTGATGTCCTTTGACAGCTCTTTGCTCTTGCCCATGGTGGTGGAAAGGTTGGAAAGGAACAAATTGATTCTTTATACACATGACGAGTTGAGTTAAGGAGTGTCTGCAAATAACATAGATTTATGGGCACAGAGTCATGTACACACATACATGTATATTTAGGAGGCAGAATTATGTCCTTCACTGTAAGTTTGTAACTCTGGAGCAGCATGCAGCATTGTTATTTGTTTAGCATATACAGTAGTTAGCATATGTATAATTGAAATGTCCTGATAAACCAGATGGTTTGATTATGATTTCCACTAGATGGAAACTTTTAAGTAAGAAATGCTAATACTTTGTTTCTTATTGTTTGTTGAGAATGTTTGCACACGTAATATGGCAACACTTGAACATTATCTAAATGGACTGGCATTTATATAGCACACTTTTTGAGTCATATTGACGTGTACACATCTATGATTGCTAAAGAAATATTTTTCAAAAACACTAATAAGATATAAGAGATTTATGTACCACCCAAAAATTTAGACGACATAGTCAAAGTTTCCCTTTGACTTTGAAATGATTCATATTACTTTTATGGCTTTCTAGTACATTACATATGTAGCTACATCTAGAAGGTGGTTAGCCCAAATCATTAGGGAAACAGGTAGCCTGCCTTCATCAACAAAAAAATATAAAAATCTTTACAATCCTCCTCTGAAATTTTCAATTAACACTTGGGTTTCATTTGCTGTATCTATTCATGCTCCTCTGAAGAGAACCTATGGGAAATGACTACCCTGCCTGGGGCAGGGTTACCAGGGCCCAACCACGGAGCCAGCCTTAGGGAGGGGCACAGTTAGAGCACCTGGTGGTTCGGTCTTAGTCGACAGGGCTCAGCCAGATGTAGTCTGAAGAAACAACATGGGCCTGCTCTCTGGTAGACCTGGCTTTGGGAATGCCCCAGTGTCCTTCTGGATGAGCTGGAATAGGTGGCTGTGGAGAGGGAGGTGTGGGCTTCTTTGCTTAGATGGAGGCCCCCATGATCCAGATAAGCGGAAGAAGATGGATGGATGCAGTAACTTTTTTGACAGTTTGCTCACTAACTCCATTCAGACAGTTTCTTCTGCTTATCAGAAGTTGGGTTGCAGTGGCAGAAGCCTAAGTATTTTAATCCTGACATCATTGTGTTTGCCATTTTAATCCTAGAGGACCCAGAGGCACTCAAAGGCTAGATGAGACACACAGTTCTGTCCCGGCATCTCCTCCAAAGGGAGGCATTCATGAATGATCCTGATGAGATGCCCACACCACTTCAGCTGCTTCCTTTTGATGCAAAGGAGCAGTGATTCTGCTCTGATATTCTCACTGTAAACCTGAGCTGAGCCATTTTACAGAGGAAATTTATGTCACTTTTATCCGTGACCTTGTTCCTCTGGTCACCATCCAGAGTTGGTGTGAGGGTAGGAATGTAGATGGACTGGTGAATCAAAAGCTTCTGGCTCAGCCCTGTTTTCACCGCAGCGGTGAAAACAGGGCCGAGTGCCTGCATTACTGCGGGCAGTGGGCCAATCTACAGGTCAATCTCATGCATCGCCTGCCCGTAACTTGTGAACTAGATTTCAAGACACTTGAACTTCCTCAGTTAGGGTAACAACTCTCCCCCAACCCACACAGAGAACTATTACATTATTTTACTTTCTACAGGTGACAGACATGATGCTCCAGGATCAGCACTACCCAGACTGGGGCAAAGCTGCCAGAAGGTTCTGGAAACAAGGCAACAACAGGATCGTCCTCTTCTGGTATGTCATTTTCTTACACTGAAATAGAATGTCTGTTAGACTGTGCTTTTCTTTACCTGCATGCACATAAGATATCAATATTTCCTCAAGCTTTGAATTGTACTACGTCTTCCTGTAATGCTCTATAGGAGTGTGTACATGCATGTGTGCGTGTTATGTGATCTGTTCAGCGCGTTGCAGGGTTACACACAGTCAATAGCCATGTTAATCATCCCTCACTCGGTGTCAGCACCTTTAATTAGAAGAACAGGCTGAAAATCAATGGACACAGCGAGGTCTCCAGGCAAACCATAGCCCCGGCTTTTACTTACTCATACCACAAGCTGTGACCCTGAAATAAGTGCTAAACAAATGCTGTAAACCATGTCTGATGCGCACTTTACTCAGCAGACAAGTAGAACCACTCCCTGTTTAGATGCACTACACCACCGCTGCACGGTCCCAGCGGCATTCATTCACAAAAGTCCTTTGGTGCTGTCAGATAGTTTGACATAGCGTGTCATTCAGATATGTCACGTAAAAGCTTCTGCAGCGGTTCATCTCGGGGTCATTGTAAAAAAGTGAAAAAAACTGAAACAGGTCTGACATCTAGTTAATAGGAACACAGAGAGCTCGAGACATCTTAAACTTCAAAGCGAATTTGGCCGCAGCGTTTTAACATTTCCTTTTCGCCGAATTGATTCACCTGCAATTAGAATGCAGGCGGACGAACTGTTCGGCGACTTTTCTGCAGCCCTTCATTATATTGATGGATGCCTCAGCTCTCCGTGTCACAATCAATGCCAGATTTGATGAGCTATCGTTTGAAATTCAGCGCTTGAAATGTGATTGATAAATGCGTCGCTGGATATGTCTTGTCAATATGTGCTGAAGGGCCGTTGCAAATTGTAAAGGACAGCGCCAAAAGTCGTCCGTGCTGAGGGAAGGGAATGCCTCTTGTGGAATAATAAAACCCCTCAAAATTTATCTCTCAAACAGCTGAAATGGGATATGAGCTGGCAGTCACTATCTGCAATGCAGCCAACCGATGTGTGGTGTGAGAATGCACACAACTGCACAATAATCGCTGGGTGACATTGAGACAAAATACACAGTGGAGAATAATACTAAGTCACATTGCCTCTCTTCACATGGCTGAGAAATTTTTCAGTGAACACTGAATGCAGAGTAATCCCAGTGTGACATGAACGAAATGCGGGAAGTGTTAAAGAATGCAAAAAAACCCAAAAAGCCCTCTCTAGGTAAGTGATATTTTGGCTCATGTTAAATATGTAAATGCATGGAAATATGTATGCAGTAGAGTTTTGAATTACATTGTCTCTGCATCCACAAACAGACACAGTTATTGTCTATGCACATTCATCTTCCTGGAAACTCACGCGATTTGTCAAATCTTGGTAAAAGAGTGTGGTTCAATGCATTATTGAGTCCATAAAGAGAGACCGAACAGTGCGAGATTGATCTTCTCTTGTAGCTGTCGTACCTGTTGTTTGTGTTCTGAGATATGTGATGCTAACTGTGCACCTATCTAGGCTGAAATTTAGAAAAAATATTTAGATGTTCTTTTTTTTTCTCAAGTTTAATGCTTGTTATCATGCTCCTCTTCTCTCCTGTGCTGCAGGACAGTACTCATCTCTCTGACATCAGTAGTGGTTCTGGTCATCAGTACCGACTGGATCAGCTGGGACAACCTGAACCGAGGCTTCCTGCCCAGTGATGAGGTCTCCAGAGCCTTCCTAGCTTCCTTCATCTTGGTCTTTGACCTTCTCATTGTTATGCAGGTAGATCAGCCCCATGGGGCCAATTTAAGGGGGGAGAGAAAGAAAGAAAAAGAAAGAAAGAAAGAAAGAAAGAGTAGCAAGCTGGGATGTCTCTTGGCTTACTCTATTACCTACCTTGCCAGGTCCTCTGCCTCCCCCTTTTTCCTTCCTATTCATCAATGGGGCACTGCGGCACAAAGCAGTGCGAGGGCGGTTGATCCCTCTCAGCTGGCACGGACACAAACTTACACACAAACACACGTATATCTGTTTATATACGAAGATACAAACAGAGAGGTGTGGTGTGGTGTTAAATATAAATTGACTTAAAAAAAAATCTCTTTTACCGTCTTCATCATGTTTCCCAGACCTCCCTATGAGCCTGGAGACAAGTTTATTTTGTTTAATGATGACTCACAAGATTGGAGTCCCCACTTCCCCCACCGCCCCCAACCCAATGTCTTCTCTCTCTCACAGGAGAGTGAACATCAATAAAGCCTGTGTCAGTCACTCATGAATATGCAAATGTGCTTGTCTGGGGGAAAAAAAACCCCAAAAACACATAGTGTGTGCTTAGGAGAAAGATTGTGAGATTTTTGTTTTCCCCCACACTGCTAACCATGCGCCTGAACCACAGGCCAATCATCTATTTGCTCAGAGCTTCTTGAGCCTAATTCAGCAAAGCGCCTCCCAATGTTTAATGAACATATTTCGCTGGAGCTCGTTAGCAGGTATTAGAAGACGTCCTACAATACCAATATCTGGTATCCCCTAAACATATATTTCCACTCTGTTTATTATGGTAATTATAAGGAGCCAGCAAATGTATGGGAGGACATTTTTCAGTGTTATAAATACCTCACTCCACAGAATCCTGGCACCGACGCCATTATTATTCCCTTGGTATTGTGTATTAGAACAACAGTAACACTAAAAGTGATTTCTAGACTTATTTATTGAAACAGTTCATTATTTTAAGAAGGGCTTTTTGCTGCTCAAGCCAGTAATTACTTCACGCTGTGGTCTTTTCCTCACAATTATTGTGATTATGCAGATTTAAAGCAGTAGCTGATCTTACACTGTGCAAGCGTTTCCTCCCAAACATCCTCGCGTCTCGCTGAGGCCAGCTTTTTCGCCTTCCTTGACCGACTCCCGGACGATGTGTTTGACATCTCCGTTTCTGGACCCTCGACTCTCTCGCTCACGCTCACTCACTGTAACTTGGCTGTTTATCATTCCCGGCTCGCAGTGATTTGTTTACGACAGGCCTCCGCTCATTTTCTGCGAGGTGTACAGCAAGCACATTTACTGCAATTATTTATGGGTCAAGTTAGCTTGTGCCGTTACAGGGCTCTCGCACCGGCGGCCGTCACTACATTCCTTCGGTCAATAAAAATTCATCCGCCGCAGCCCTCCCAACAGCTTCATTCGCCTCTATCCTGGATCTGTGCCATAGTTAATCTCACGCCTCCATGAGAAAAGATGGGTGATTTTGTTCTCATGCTAATTAATGCTCCAATTAATGACCTGTCTGGATTTGCCTCTGAGCAGGGTTTTATCTTCTTTTTTTATTATTAGTATTTTTTTATATAATTGTGGCTTTTTGCTGTTTTGGGTTTTCTTTGGCAACCAAATGTCAGATTTCTGTATATACATATTTACATATGTGAAAGATGTTGATACACCCTGCCAGTTTACTCTACCTGTATTTGTTGTAGAGACTCATTATTTTGTGGTAGGAATGTTTAAATGCCATGCCTGCAAGTGCTACGGCAACCGATACAGCAGCTACGGAAGCAAAGTGGAGGACTTAATTAATATCCAAGGGGCTCTCGTCAAATTGTTTTGCTGTTCTGTTCATAGATATTGGCACAGGAGACCTTGGATCACATGAGGACGTAGTGAATTCAGATGTGTTAATTTCGCGCAGAGCAAGAAGCTCTGTGCAAATAACAGAATCAAATGGAAATGGAGCTAATCTGAAATTATGTGTGCCTTGTTTTTTTTCCCCTCTAATAGTGATGACAAAAGCTAATTTGCAAAATGATTAAGTCAGCTCAGCAGAAAGAAACTGTTTCATAACATTTTCCTCTCTCTGTCTCTCTGTGTGACTTTCATTAGTTTCATCTGTGTTTATAATCATTTTAATGCCATGCTTTTCATAATCTTAAGTAACTCATTACAGAAATATTTAAATACATTTTAAAATGGTGTCGTAACACGGACATACAGTAGGAATCGTCTCCAGCAGCAGAACAGCAGACAGTAACAATTTAAGGCTCTGTATTCACTGTTAGGTTAGATTTTACTTTTAAAAAAATCACTTGATCTTTAATTTTTTGATAACAAAAGCAAATTTTTGCTCACTGCCCACTTCATTAGGGACACTTGTTCAAAGGTTGGCAGAAGCCCATCAAAATGGGGAAGAAAGGGGATTTTAAAAGACTTTGAATGTTGTGTGGCTGTTTGTTCCAGATGGTGGTGGCCTGCAAATTGGTGATCTACTGGGATTTTCCCACAATCATCTCTAGGGTTTACATGGAATGTAATGCTCTGAACTGTCAGGAAGGCAACAGTAATTCAAATAACCACTAGTTATGACCAAGAGGAGCAGAAGAGCCTCTTTGAATGCACAATATGCTCTTCAAGCAGACGGTCTCTAGCAGCAGAAAACTGGATCAGGAGCCAATCCCGTCAGCTAAGAACAGGAAACTGAGGCTGCAGTTCACACAGGCTCACTAAAATTGGAAAAATATTGCCTGGTCCTGATTCTTCAGCATTAGGATAGAGGCGATCCTAAATGTCTTCTTGCCTTGTATCTAGGAGACCTTAGCAGGGAAAAATTTCCTCTGACATAAAAGCTCCTGGGATCACTGAAACATACAAACCACCTCCTTGAATTATCAAGGAGTTTTAGGACTCCCTGATAATTCAAGGAGGGAAAGGAGCCAGCCGAGGGGGTTTGGGCATCTGATGCCTCCTGGACACCTCAAAGGCAAGGTGTTTCAGGCTCCAACTGGGAGGAGGTCTCTGAATTTGCTGGAGAGATTATGTCTTGGCTGGCTTGGGAACAACCTGGTGTCCACCCAGGTGAGCTGGAAGAGGTAGGAAGTCTGGGCTTGCCCCCTTGACCTTAACCTAGATAAGTGGTAGAAGATGGATGGATGGATGGACTGAGCCCCTTAGTTCCAGTTGAGCATCATTTATATGCCAAAGCCTAGCTGTATTGTTGCTGACCATATCCACCCCTTCATGATCACAGTGTACCCATCTGATGGCTGCCTCCACCAGGGTAACACATGAATCATTTCAAACTGGTTTCTTGGGCTACGTTCACACTGCAGGCGAAAGCGCATCAAATCCGACTTT